TATTTATATAAAATTTTATTTTATATTTTTATTTTTTATTTTATTTTATTTATTTTATTTATTATTTAAAAAATGTCTTCTAGTTCAAATTATTTAAATACTTTTGAAGATTGTAGTGAAGAAGAAAATTTACAAACACAACTTGAAAATGATATTTATATTAGTGATTTGGAAGAGAATAGCATTGAAGTTGAACAAAAAGTAATTAAACAAAGTATACAAGATATAAGTTTTCAAGAATCAATTTCAACAGATAAAGAAAATTTGACTAAAAATTTTGAATTATTACCACAAGTTAAATTATTTAGTAAAGAAGAATTAGAAGTTTGAAAATTTGTAAATAAACAAACTTGCAAATGTTCTCAATATTCTAAAATATTTAAACTAACAATATCAACAACTTCTATTCGTAATCATTTACAACATCTGCATAACTTATTATTAGATCAAGAAAAATTAAATCTTGGTCTTAAAAAACATTCAGCAGCAATTCAAGCAGAAAAAACTCAAGCAATATTTAAATAGATTATTTTATCTCTTAAACTATTTAAAGTAGTAAAAGAAAAGGCTTTTTATAATATGGTTCAAAAATTAGATCCATTTTATCAAATTCCTACTCATAAAACAATATATAATTTAGTTATTAATTAATTTAATCAGCAAAGAAATTTGATAAAAGATTATTTTAGTAAAATTTCAAATAATGTTGCTCTTATAGCTGATTTTTGGACTTCTTTAAAAATAGAAAATTTTATAGCTATTACTATTCATTTTATTGATAACAATTGGAAATTACAACATTTTGTATTAGATATATTTCAGTTTAAAGGTTCTTATACTAGACAACTTATTGCTAATAAAATATATAATCTACTTGAAGAATTTCAAATTGAAACTAAAGTTATTGGATTAACAACTAATAATGCAGCTAATATGATTTCTGCTACAAATTATTTACAAGATAAGTTAATTTTAAATAATTTTTGTTATTATAGATATATAGTTTATATACTTAATTTAGTAGTTTTTGCTGGTTTAAATCTTTTAGACAATTCAATTAAAAAATTAAAAAAATTAATTAAAATTATTCGTAAATCAACTAAATTTCTTGAAGATTTAGAAAATCTTGCAACTTTAGATAAAAAAT